ATAGATTTAGTTTTAATTTTATATTTAATTTAAGATGGAGTGGGTGTGAGTTGAGGGGGACTAAGGGCTAACTGTCGGTGTGGGTAAAGGGTACCCGGAAGGGATGCAGAGGGGGGGGGGTATCCGGGATACTTCAAATATGAGTGTGGGTGATGGATATATATGTATTCATATGTCTCATATATCGGAAAGTTAAACTAAAACTAAATCTAGGAATAGATTTAGTTTTAGTTTAACTTTTTATTTTCTCCATTTATATTCGAACTCGAGTTAGACAGCTATTCATATATGTATATATAAATAAAACTAAAACTAAAACTATCGGTAGCTATATGGTTATTGTTAGCAATTTTCGTTTTTACCGTTTATATTCGAAGTCGAATCAGGCAGCCACTCCACAAACTCGATAGTACCCCATTTTTTTTGTACATCTTGCATAGATACGTCATTGATGATAGCAGGCGAAATTAAAAAAATCTCGCATAAATAGGACAAACAGAGCTCATTCAGAAACGAGAGAAAATAATATTGCCTTATGACGGCGAAAACACATGAAATCATTCGTCATGATAAGCAACCTGTGTGACACAAATGACGCCAAGTGTAATTAACAGGTGAGTAATACAAGATTTTCTGCAGAGACTAAGCTTCGTTCATGTTTATATGAATAAATCAAAAGGATAACGTCAAAATTTTCTATCGTATTTTGTCTTCCTATTTGAGATGGTCAATTCTGTTCCGCCAAATAGCAGTTTGATCGTACCTGCAAATAATCAAAATGTCGAAATTTTTTCTCTGATCTGGCTTGATCAAGATGTCGAGAGTCAATATATTCGGAATACGGAAAAAAATTGCGTTCTAACATAAATCTCATTTAAGCACTTTTGCCGATATGAAACAATGTCAACAGTATGTGGAAGATCCATCGTCAAGCATTCGGGTAATGATTATTGCCAGTGGCGTTTTGGGACAACGTATAGGTCAAAGGTGTGATCAATGAAGTAGATGAACTTGTTTCTCAAATTAACACTGATCGTCAAATTCAGAGAAATCTAGATGAACCATTTTCCACAATCTTTTCAATGTAAATTGTGGCAATGGTACATCAACAAGTGATATAAATGGTAAATTCATCTTTTCTCAAGTTCTCATTGATTGTATTCTACGAATAAAATCGAATGAAGAAGATAAAAATGAACTTATTACTTGTTGTAAACAGTAATATGCAGGTAGTTGCATGACGATGAACCATCTTGATGAATTCGAAAAAACTTATTCGCCCGACAAAGTCCTATGGTGGTACTCACGAGAATCCTTCTTTTACAATGTACTTAATAGAGCTCTTCGCAATGAAAACATTCATATCATATTTTTATTTCGCGAATTTATCTCTGATATTTATCATCAATTGAAAGAGTATCAAGTCAAGACTCCCATCACCACTTATCGATGTCAACTAATGTCAAGTGATGAGCTGAAAACTATGAAGGCATCAGTTGGCCATTTTATTTCTGTGAACTCATTTTTTTCTACGAGCGCTAGTGCGAAGGAAGCTCGTTCATTTATTCATACTTTCTTTATCAGAGACAATTTAGAGCCAGTATTATTTGAAATCACTGCCGATCCGCACGTCGCCACTAACAAACCATTCGCTGATATTAGTATATTTAGTGAATTCAATGGAGAATCTGAAGTGGTTTTTATGCTTGGTTCTATATTTCGTCTGGACAGCGTTCGTCGTAGCAGTGATCATAAACTTTGGGTTATTCAAATGACTTTGTGCAGTGAGGATGCACATGGTCTGAAAGAAGTGTTCCTTCATATTAAAAAGCAGTATAGCGAAGAAGACGTAAATCTCGGAACGTGTGCAAAATTATTATGGAAACTTGGAAAATTTAATTTAGCTGAATTATATTATATGAGATTTTTGAAGATGTTTCCGCCAAACGATCCTTTAGTCGGTAAAATATATGAAAATCTTTGTGAATTAGCATCGCAAACTGGTGACTATGGTAAAAGCATAGATTTACATAAGAAATGTATCGAACATGAAAAATTAAATCGATTAGGCTGTAGTATCGATGGTCATAATGCAAGTCATCATATTGGTGAGTTTATCAGTGGAAAAATTATATTCTATGAAGAGAAAAGCATTCTAGAGACTTAAAAAGCGGATCTCATACAACATCATTATGAATTTCATAAAGATATTCTCGTTCTTGCCTACTAAATAGTCTTTTTGAAATAGTCGACGATCTCTAGCTTGCGTTGTTTCTTCATCTTAAAATTCTTTTCAGCGCTGTTTTACAGAAGCATCCTTATTTATTCCCTCTTTTCTATGTATCGATTCTATACGACTGTAGTACGAGCTGAGAAAGGCTTGAGTGGAAGTAGATTATATCAACAAAAGATCTCTTCTACCATAATATCAACTATTTTAGTTTTTCCCACTATACCAGTCAATGCCCGATGGGCACAACATGGAGTGACTGTTGCTGGAGAGTTGCAAAATGACTATATGACCTATCAACTATGTTTACCTTACAGCTTCTGCATTGATGACGATTCTCAAACCATGATTATTGCTGACTATGGTAATGATCGGATTGTTCAATTGAAGATGAATAGTAGGAATGGTGAAATTCTGGCTGGTGGTGGTGGCGTTGGAACTCAGCTGGATCAATTAAATCAACCAACCGATGTAATCATCGATAAAAAGACAAATAGTCTCATTATGTGCGATAGACAAAATCGACGATGTCTACGGTGGTCGCTTTCCAAAGGCACTGTTCGAGGAGAAATACTCTTCGATAACATTCGTTGTTGGGGATTGGCCATAGATGATCAGAATAATGTATACATTTCTGACACTGAAAAGCATGCCGTTATACGGTATACAATGAATGATAAGAATGGCACTATTGTTGCTGGTGGTCAAGGTAGAGGAGCTGCTCTAAATCAACTCAATAATCCTACATACATATTTGTGGATCAACAACAGAATGTCTATGTGTCAGAACGTGGGAACCATCGTGTTACCAAATGGGAAAAGGGTGCATCACAGGGAATTGTTGTTGCTGGAGGTCACGGGCAAGGGAAGCTGTTGACGCAAGTGTCACAACCTGAAGGATTATTTGTAGATACATCAGGTACCGTCTATGTGGTAGATTCATGGAATCATCGAGTGACACTATGGCCAAAAGAAGCGAAGCAGGGTACTGTGATTGCTGGTGGGAACGGCCAAGGGAATACATCTAATCAGTTGAACAGTCCTGTAGGTTTATCTTTCGATGAGCATGGTAATCTCTATGTCGCTGATTGTGGAAATGATCGAATTCAATGCTTTTCTTTCGAATAGTCAGATTGTTATTGTATATTTTATTTTACTTCTATCAAATAAATAACCGCCAAAGGACTAGACATGATAATTCAAAAAATGAGTGAACATGGCTCCTATTCTATGCACT